AGTATGATGCACGACAACACGATGTATGATGATTTAGCAGAGACGCGGGCAGTCGCAGCACTCGGGCATCTCTCGTATTTCTCCCGTCGCTCCCGACACCCCTGCTCAACTGGAGGGACGAGCGACGGCGGCATGCCGACCACATGTTCGCGACCCGGCCCCACAGACTAGTGCCCCTCTGCGGCGTCCAGTCGACGCAGCGAGGCGACCCGTACAAGGATGGGATATAGACAAGGTGACTGTCATCAGTGCCAATGAATGACTGCAATGTCGGCAAGGGGCTGATGCTCGGTGCTGGAACATTAGGGAAAGTGTAATGAATAGGAAACGGCATCTGAATCTGCTGCCCAGCGCGGTATGTGGATGTTATACAGCTACTATGTTTCCCTACAGATGGTATCTGAATAGGAGTAGGAGATGGAAACGTGTTGTTGGCGTGGATCGGAAGAAGGAACATTCGAGAACTCTTGCTATTCACCATCAATGGCCTATCATCTGAATGCAAAATACATGAAGTTATGTGGCAGCGGACCTGGGCACCAATAGGATAAAACAGCGCTTGCAACGTTTTTTTTAAGATAGGCTATACATTGGAGCGATGAGTAGGCACCCTATCCCTCAATCAGCATACCTACCAACTACGCTTGAGCACATGCTAAGCTAACAAGTATAATGACCGCGAGTGAACAATTGAGCTCCACCGTCCACGAAAATCTAAGAGATTGCACGCCAGCTTCTAGTAACGTCTCCCGGTGACGAGCAGACTCGACACTAATAATATGCTAGATTTGGACTATTGCAAATCATGACACTCCCATGCGGCGTGTGGCATAAATGCGCCATAGTCAACACGCCATGCTGCGCGGATTGCTGACAGCGTGGAACAGGCCATGACCCTGAATGTGAATAAATTACCTGTTTAGGTAGGTATTCCTTCTAAATAGACCTTTTTACGGCCAAATAAAGACAAAGTGTGCACATTTTAGTAGTAATGCAACCGATATCGACAGTTCGCCAGAGACAGACTGACCCGTACTGTCGGAATCACCTGCACTATTGCTGAAATGAAACTGCGGCATAAATTGGGCGTAAAGAAGGTGAGGGTATTCGGGCCGCATCCAAACTACTGTTTACTTAACCCCTTATCTAATATCTGGACGCTCGTTGAAAGTACGAGCATAGACCTCTTACTACCTTCTCAGCTGCCTACGGCGCTGCCGTATGCGCACTGCGCGATTATGGGCTATGCTCCGGGGCAGCTCTCACTGCTACTGCAGTGAAAAGTGGGGGCTCGTAAGCTCGTCAAACTTGCACTAGTAGAAAGTACCGCGATCCAGCGCTGTCCGCTACACACACCCTTGGCTGACACCGTGTAGTAAATTTACATGCAGCGTAACTTATGTCACTGGACCTACCTATCATATCCGAAAACACAGTGCAACGGTGCAATTGCACAGTGCAAGGCAATGTACTCGGGTATCACATCCGATTCTTGAAACTAGTCATGCAATGCACAGACCTCAAACCACCGTTTACATTGACTCATGTTACTGGCAGACAGGTTTTGCGGTGAGTGTCGCTACCCACGACACCATCACCGCCGCCATAATATTGACATTAGCGCGTTACGACATTGTATCGCGTCACATGTCGCGCTCGCTCGGCAAGTCTGGAAGCGAAAGTTGCTGGGTGCTCGCTGGCGCGTGGCCATCCGAACGGCATCGGTGTGCGGCGCCGATCTGGGCGCGGCGGAGCTGGTGATTTCGCCGGAGCTGCTGTACCGTGGACGGAGAGCGGATCTCCTCTCCCGTCGTCAGCAGTACGCCGCTCCGGCAGTCAGTCGCGCGAACCTGCACAGTCTGCCGTGCTCAGGGCGTGCTGGAAACAGTGTGAGCTGATGGAGCTGCGTGGGTCGCGTCTGACACTGGTGCTGCTTCTAGTGAGTATCGTGTGCTGTGAGAGAGTCCCGGAGCCGGCTGACACCGGAGGGGCTAGAAGAGAGACCCGCCACGCCCCCCTGCCGCCCTGGCGACGGCCACACCCGCCGCCGCCGCCGCCGCCGCCGCGGCCTGGCCAGCGTGGCCTCCAGCCGAGACCTGAAGAGACGGCGGCGCTGCATCCGCGACATCCGCTGAGGCTCTACAGCCACCGCGACGGACCCCACGTGCACCCGGCACCCAGACCGGGACCGCCGCACGGGCAGGACTTCCAGCTGGGACCGCCGCACGGGCTGGATTTCCAGCTGGGACCGCCGAAAGGGCCGGACTTTCGACCGGGACCGCCGAAAGGGCAGGACTTCCAGCCCGGACCGCCGCACGGACCGGACTTCCAGCTGGTACCGCCGAAAGGGCAGGACTTTCGACCGGGACCGCCCCACGACGGGCCGGATTTCCGACCCGGACCGCCCTCCAGGCCGGAATTTGGACCGGGACCGCCACTCTCGTCGGACATTCGGCCCGAGCGGCCACATTACGAGAAGTTCCGATCGGAACCGCCACACGGACAGGAACCCGGGCCGAGTTTGCAGCAGCAAGACGAGTTCAGTTTCGGTTTCGGTGATTCTAGCCTGTCTCAACAGCAGCGCGATGAATATCCGGGATCGCCTCAGCCGGACTTTCATTCAGAGCGTGAGTACATTACTTTGTATGCCTCCCTGTATTCTCGCTGGTCAAACGTGAGTTGGCTTTTTATTCATCCCCACATCATTTTCATTATGCGTCATGGTAGGCTAATCATTTTGTTCCCTTTTGTTGCTACCCCATGGCGCCGTCAATGTATATTTGTCCTGAATACGGCTATGGTGAATAAGCGATTATTAATTGTAACAATTTGTCATCTTTTATGCATTTTCCATTGCCGGAAAAGCACTTGTAAATATAATACCACATAAGGCGTTCTCTTCTCATCCCCTCCCCCGCCGCCCCCCAGTTCCACTAACACATGATAGCCCTCTTTTACTAATTTATTTTTTATTTTTTGTTGCACACTTTCATTGCGCCATTGGTACAGACATCACCGGTACGAGACGCAGCGGGAAGAAGCTATATAATGACCTGAGGTCAGTGGGTTAGCCTCCAGAGAAAAAATGAAATTGCTGTTCAGAAGCAAAAATGCATTGTGTTAAAAAAATGGCCAAAATTTTGGTTTTATTTTTTAACCGAATCGCAAAAAGAATCGTTCAATAACTTTTTGGGTGAGTCAGACGTGAATCATTCCCTTTTCTGTTTTTTTCTTTGAATCGAAAGGAATCGATTCACCAATTTTTTAAAGGAATCAAACGATGGTTGAATCGAATAAAATCAAATGAATAAATGATTGAATCGACCCAAAAAGGTGAATCAATAACCAGTCTGCTTTGACCTGACCTTTACCTGCAAGGTCAGCGCTCGAAGTTGATCCCACCCAAACAAAAAGTATATTTTTCGACGCGCCTGATCATTACGATCACAATGGCGCTACAATCGCGGCTTTTCAACCTTCTTTGCGAAGTTATTTCATTTCATCTCATTTATTTCATTTATTTCATTTATTTCTTTATCACCAACCGTTACCCCAATGACATATGAAATCAGCTCAGTCCCAAAAACTGATCTATTACCTTGGGCACTTGACCTGAACTCAGAGGTCACCGATTGACTTTGGGATATTAACCCTCGCCGGCACAGGGGGTTGATGCAACCCCCCCCCCCCTAAGGTTTTTCGCGAATAACTCGCGTAAAAAGCGGCCGATCGCGACGAAACTTTCAATACCCTCGCATTGATCAATTTTAGACCTACCCTGAAAACTTCATGACCCTGACCCCAATGACCTTTGACCTGTGACCTCTTTTCCGAGACCATGTTTGGCCGGAATCGCGATTCGACGTATGTCGGCTAACATTAGCCGCGCGTTTGCAAGCTTTTTGTGGTTTCAAACGTTCAAACATGTGATTTGATGTCGCTCCCATACATTAGGGTGGGTGTCAAGGTCACCTGAAGGTCAGGTCAGGTCATTGACCTTTGGTGACCTCGGGTGACCTCGGTTCACTTTTTCGAGTTTTACATGTTTCTAGGCTAGTTTTTGGAGCTGAATTCGAATTTGGCAACCATTTGAACATTTACGAAGTAGTTTTGGTGCCTTCGTAACATGTTACGAAGCTGTCAGAGGCAGTTGACACGTATTACGAATACTCGTCACAACCCCTACCGGTTGACCTGACCTGACCTGACCCGACCTGGTCTAAATGCTTAAAGACATCATCTCTGAACAAAACTAACACGATATTCGTGATCAGCACCCCGGAAAACCACATAACAGCCACAATTTACGACTTTCTAACAGGTCCCGATTTTCCCGGTTTTCGGGTCATTGACCTGACCTGGAAGGTCACCCGATGACCTAGGACCTTAAAATTGGGTATCATCGGCTTCTTCTCGTGACGGGCAACACGCTCGTTTTTTCCGCGAAGCTCTAGCTCGATCAGGGGCCAAACGCGAGGGGGGGTCGTACCAACCCCCCCCCCCTTGTGCCGTCGAAGGACGCAAAATGGCCTGTGCCGGCGAGGGTTAAACCGAGTAGCTTCTTCTCGCTGCGTCTCGTACCGGTGATATCTGTACCATGACATATGTAACATGTAATACCTACGAGTACTCGGTACTCCATGCACAGTGTCCATGGTGATGCCGAGCATCACTGGTAAAACTGGTAAAACTGGTACAACTGGTAAAACATGCTCCTGTCCACAGCGAAGAGCGGGTGTCGCATCAATGGAAAGATGTACGCACCCGGGCAGAGTTGGCACCTCGCCAACTGTCGACGGGGTACTTGCGTCAAGTTTGGTCACAACTACTACGTTTCAGAAGATAGGTAAGTGATATACAGACAAGGATTTTGTCACAGCCCGCAGAGCACAGATTTAATAGTAGTCTGCCTCCTCGGTCAACTGTAAAATACCGTACCTATGTCTCAGAACCGCTCCGCCGTACTTACCCATGCAAAGCTATGCGACGCTCCCTCCCGAGCTTTCAAATCTTCATGAGTCATCAAGCGGTAAAACCAACACTCTGTTCACGATATACATATGTCCGGTTGACCAGCCCCGAGTGAATGAGAGAAGGGCTAAGTTGAATGCATGTGTTGTGTATATGACTGTGTGTTTGTCCAGCATGGATACGAGAAAGAGGGAGGGAGAGAGAGAGGGAGAGGGAGAGAAAGAGAAAGAGAGAGAAAGAGAGATAGAGAGAGAGAGAGAAAGAGAGAGAGAGAGAGAGAGAGTGAGAGAGAGAGAGAGAGAGAGAGAGAGAGAGAGAGAGAGAGAGAGAGAGAGAGAGAGAGAGAGAGAGAGAGAGAGAGAGAGAGAAAGACAGAGACAGAGACAGAGAGACAGAGAGCGAGAGGATTTTACCGTAGTCTCTATGTGTTTTATATTATGTTAAAATCGGTTTCACAAACGCAGTGCCATCTAAATATCACGATTATGTTCCAGGTGCTCGGTGAAATACCACAACGCCAACTACGCTTGTGTGATTTACCAGGACAAAGACCGGCCGTATCCGGACTGTTGTCCGTACTACCGCTGCAATCCGGAGAATTAAGTACCGTGGTAACGGATAATTAGTTTTCCACTGGGTGTAACACTGTTGTTGTCCGTAAAACCGCTGTATTCCGGAGAACTAAACGTGACGGCTAACTAGTGCTCCTCTGGGTGTAACACTGCTGTCCGTACTACCGCTAGCCGCTAGTATCTGGAGATCTGAATGCTGCAGTTGCGGCTAACTAGTCTCCTCCGGGTGTAACGTTGTGTTGTCCGTAAAACCGCTGTATTCCGGAGAACTAAACGTGACGGCTAACTAGTGCTCCTCTGGGTGCATAACACTCTCTTTTGTTATGGAGGTGTCACTGTACTGATGCAATGACATCAAAGGTAGCACTACGACAGTGAACTGTTCTGCAGCGATTACCTGGTGTCCTGGTTTTATGGATGTGTGGAATGTGTCAGGCGCTAGGGGCTGTGATTCATGTATGGAAGTTGGGAATGTTTACCTGCTCTCCCATGATTCAGGAGGTCACAGTGGGTCATTTTATGTGTGCATTTGTACATTGTGTGTGTGTTGAAACAGCAAAATCACCTAAATATAATATGTGATTCATGTGTTCTATATATAATTCCTTCATTTTCATTCAACCTTCGCCCGGGCAGCTCGGGGCCTTTTTGGCCACACTCTCCAGTTTTTTTTTTCAATTGTAAATAAACAGCGAGCACCGTTTAGTTTGGTATAGTTTATCATGTAGCAATTTTGCACCGTGTGTACATTTTTTAACCCCAGGTCACCGAAAGTCAGGTCACCAAGATACGTTTAGTAAACATGCCTCTAAAACATGCGATCCTGTCATTCCTACAGCTTCTCTTCTAGAACTTTGAAACTCAGTGAATTGCATAATTGACTAATCTCATTAATGTGCATACCTATCTCCGATTTTTCACGCTGTGACCCGGAGTCAGGTCAGATCTGTGAGTGTGACATCGCCACTGTAAAGGCCTGGCTACACAATGCGTTTTCTGCGTTTGCTTTTGCGGGTTGGTGGGTTTTGAAAATAATATCGTTCTAGAAAAAAATGATAATACGTTTTTGTTATAAGTTGTTTATATAAAATTTTAGTTAACCCGCGCACCGACGGGGGTCTGCGCCAACTTCGTACCGACGGGGGGGGGGGCGGATGACCGCCCCCCCCTGAGATCTCGAGAACGAAGCAAGATAGCGACAAGCGGTAAACGGCATCGGATACGCACGGCCAAGATCTACAATTTTTACTAAGGTCATTTTCAGGTCAGGTCAAAGATGACGTCACAGGGGTCGAAAAAGTCAAAATGGCGGCGCTAGATATGGAGAGAGTTTTTCTCGAATAACTTTCGAACTAGTCAAGATAGGAACAAACTAAGGGCATCATCGTGATCCTCTCGTCAATCCGCATCGAATGATATACAGGGTGTCTCAAAAGTTCGTTCACAGGTACAGGGACCCGCAATTGCTACTGTACACATATATTACCAATTTAGAATTGCGCTATTATTTGCTAAGTGCTGGCCATTGGAGAAAGGAAATGTAGTGCAAAGTATGGAGGAATAACACATGTTTGCTCCTAGGACTTATGTTTTGTATAATTCCTCTTACCGCAACAGATATTCTTCCAAAACTACAATCGTGCTATTTTTCCGCGCCGGTTGCCTCCCCAGAGCCCGTCCTTGGTATCGCCTATAGCTTCCGTTCCCGCTACGTGAATGAAAGTCACGTGACTACTACGGGTTTGCGCTCAGTACTAACACACCTAGCCCGAGGGCCGGTCCGTAGCGGGGAGGGGTAGAACGCCAGAGCTCCAGCGCAGTGGGGGTGGTGGTGGCCCGTATCATAAAGAGGCAACCGTAAGCAGAACTACAATTGCCGCAGTATAAGATTATGATCAAGTTTTCTTTAGATGTATTGATTGACAAGAAATTGCAATGCTTATCCGATATAATAAAACGGTGTCCAAGGCCTTGGAAGAACTATAAAACATTTTCAGCAACGTATAGATTTCTGATACAGGCCATGACCTTTCACCTTGCCTCCGGGGAGGACCGCTGAGGAAGCCACATACCGAACGAATCGAGGCCTCGCAGCGCGGCGGCAGAGGAGGTGGATAAACCATCGCCAGATCTTTCGGTTACTTATGTTTCCAGAAGAAGGAGGGGGGGGGGGGGGGTGGAGGGTGAGGGCTGTTTTCAACCCACTCACCAATCCTTTCCTTATTAACTTATAGCTTACCGAAAAAATGCAACACAATGGTGGCCGTCACGAGATGCAGCGAAGAGTGCCTCATCCACACCGGTTTTGAGTAAACTTTAGGCATTGGAATTCAGGCCAGTGATCCTGAAGCATTATTTTATTTTTGTCGTGCATAAGCTGGGATGACGTGGTTCAAGTTAATTGCGAAGAAACGGTTTTAGTTTCAGAACATTTATGAGGCTAGTCGCGCCAAATACACCTTTTTGCACCTCAAATAGGCATCTTTTCATTCAATTTCGGCGAACTGCATTCAATTTTAGCGATCTCTCATTTGCTTCGAATAGGGGCATTTTGTTTCGTCATATGGGCTCTACTTTGGCATCGGGCACACCACATCGATATCAGTCATAATTTCGGCAAGGGGCATTCAACTTCGACAAGGCCTTACGTATTTAGACGATAGACATGGATTTAAACACGAGACATTCAATCTCGTCATTTTACAATTAAAATCGACATCACTCATTTGATTTAGACATTGCTTATTTAAAAATCGTTAATTAGGCAGTTTATGAAAAATAAAGAAAAAAGACCTGCTGGATGCTGGTCGTCCCAGTCACTCCTAATCATGCTGTTCAGAACCTTATGTAAATAAATTTTGCTTACAGCACGGGTGGTAAATTCACTCTCACTCCATCTGCATCCTTATCCATCTGAATCCTTATCATGCTTCGTTGTTCCCTGCTGATGGTCACCCATTGCACGCATGCAGGATCGCTCCGACAAAACGCCCGTCCCTATACGTCTTGAGCGGCTGTAAGCGGTGGCGTGTTTAATTGCAGCGGGCCCGTCGAATGTCGAACGGGTCCCTGAATGCTTCAATGATTCTACACCGGCCCTCGGCGCACACCGACCTGTTCTGACGACGTGGCATGACTTGAATGCCGCCGCCCTTCATCAGACTCCGCATCGTTTGTTTGTTTGTTTTGTTGGGTTAGGGCGCGGTAGGCCCTTTCGGTCCAATGAGACAATTGCAGAGCCGGGAGGTACACCTTTTTTCAATCCGAATCGGCATCCGTTCATTCAAATACGGCAGCGGGCACCTTATCTGGACAGGCACTCCAATAATTCGACACTGGAGCACACATTTCGACACGTTTCACGAATTTAGACTAGCATCTGTTGATATTCGACCAGGGTCATTGAACAACAGCAGGGGCATTTAATATCGACAAAGGGCATTCTGTTTTGTCATATTGCATTTTACGTCGGCAGCTTGCAGCCAAGCTAGACAATGGTCAATTTATCTCATCAGTGAATTAAGCAACCCTTATCTTTTTGGAAAGGCATTTTAAGAATGTGTGTTAAAATGTACCACGGTACTGTAAAGAGACACTCAATATGGGCGCTTGGTTGCTAAGTAACCACACCTTTTTCAATCCGAATCGGCAACCGTTCATTCGAATACGGCAACGGGCACCTAATTTCGTCAGTCGCTCTGGAACCTTAACACCGGTTCGTCCCTAACATCAACCGCTTCCGGCACACAAGCTGACCTCATTCGAGGTCACCATCCTTGCGTCACTCTGTGACAATGTGGAAGCACTGGCGAATCCAAAGGGCGACGGGGGTCATTCGGGGCCACGCTCCAGGCGAATCCAAAGGTTGATGGGGGTCATTCGGGGCCTCGATCCTTTCAACGCATCTAAAGTTGACAATGTTTTAGCCGTATTTCTTGCATGAAAAACAAAAATATTGATTTTTTCATTTGTGTCGATCTGTCGACACATTGTGAGTGGCGCTGAACGCCAGCGCGGATGGCTCAGGTCTGCCGAGATGGGAATGGGCGTGTCACCGGAGAGCGGCAACAATCTTTGCAGGACGGCGGTTTTGTCAGTCATGGTCAACTGTATTTCTGGACAAAAAACTGCCCTCTGGAAAGGTGGAAACCCTACGGACTGACCCATTGATCGCTTTGGCTGCATATCCGTAGCGAGACAGTTTTATACCGGCGCCTTGTCAGCCGCCGCAGCTCACCAGTCACTGGTAGACACCCAAATGCTTCCTCCGCATGATCCTCTCATCTCACGACTCTGACATGGCTTGCTAGCCTATACTCACCCTCCATTCACAGAAGAAAAAAAAATGTTTAGACCTTAAAACTGCGGCCTTGGCGTATTTTGTGTTCCATTACACAAGGGAAGTCTAACAAAAGGATGAAATGCCATAAAAATTCAAGTGGTAAGCATTGGAAACACATCAATATACAAAATGTGGTATGAAATTTGCTTGATTTTGCTTGTTATAACGGCAACGAAACTGAATGACCATTGCCATTGTAAAATGAAATTTGCTTTTTTCCAATGCCCGATGTCACAGTCCTATGCCGTGTGCCGAAATTCATTGGCCAGTGTCGAAACCACGCTCAGTGTCGAAATTAAATGCCGCATGTCACGCCCCTGCACTATGCCGAGTTTGGAGCGTGGTTTGTCGAAAGCGCACTCCGGCTGACGTTCCTAATGCAGATCTGCCGAAACTAACTGACCGGATGCCGATTCGGATTGAAAAAAGGTGTAGGAAGTTGGGGGAGACATTGGTCTGGGCAGGCACCCTAGAGTCACCGGGGCGCAAATTTACAAACTGTATACACGTCTTCGGAGACCGAGCCGTGACGTCATGCCAAATGGGCGGAGTGAAAGGCTGTAGCGGCGCTTGGCAGGTGACGTCAAGTGCAGGGGCGGAGCGGAAGACTCGCGGATCGTGGAGCTTACCTACTCGATGAGAAATTGTAATGTTGTGTTGAATATTTACAACTAGCTAAAACCCCTGATCTTGTTTGGGAAAATAGTTCATCCGAAAGACCAAGTTATACTTACGAAATACGATAGCATAATTGTTAAACACAAAAGCCACCAATGGACTCAGGAAGACCTGCCGAATCGAATGATATGCGACATAACCTCTTTTGACCAACTTCGTGACCTGGGGGTGCTGACCTGACCTTGACCTGAGGTCAACACCCTAAAATGACCTGACCCTAACAAAAAGTATATCATTCGACGCGCCTGAGCGGGGCGAACACGATGCTGCCAAAATCGCGGCTCTGCGGCCGTTTTTTGCGAAGTTATTCACCAAAAACTGAACCGTACCCTGGGGCACTTGACCTGACCTCAGAGGTCACCGGTTGACCTAGGACCTTAAAATCGGGTACCAATCTCTGCGTCTCGTAACGGCGCACACGCTCGTTTTTTCCGCGACGCGCTAGCTCCACCAGGGGCGAAACGACGAGGGGGGTCGTACCCACCCCCCCCCCCCCTCGGCCGGCGCGTATGTAAAAAACCAATAGGTCCGGCGAGGGTTAACTCCAAGGCACCAAAGAATCGTCG